TGGTGCTAGTGCTAGGTCTTAGGCCTTTTATTGATAGGGTTAGGCACCCTGACCCAGCTACAGCTCGTTTGAGAGATTCTAGCAAAGTCTGAAACCTGAGCAAGGATGTGCCATTCACATGCAAAAGCCACAACACAGGGTTGGGTGGAGCTGCAAAATGAATAGGGTGGGGTCTCAAGGAATCACCAGGGCAGAGCAAACAGATATGGCTGCCAGTCAGCTCTGCGACTGGGGAGGTCCCACCACAAGAACAATGATCCTTGCGAGCACCTCCATCTGGGAGAAAGGTCCCCCTCCCCCAGTTCCTATCCCGATGCCAGACAATCCAGTTTCTCATCATATGTGTCTGGGTCCCGCAGAGCCTTGCCCTGGTGCTGGAGCGCAAAGGAAGCAGTCCTTTGTAAGTTCAGTTTATGCACCGGCCCTTTAAGAGGAAGAGCTGGGTCTCCAGCAGCCTCTGTGTTACTGAGCCCCAATCCCTGATGGTTTTTACAGCCCGTAGTTATGGGGATTGCTCTTCCTATCTCTGGAACTCTGGGCTGGGCAGTCTGGTGTGGATCTGGGACACCTTGCTCCTCACAGTCTGCCTCTGCAGAGCCTACCTCCTACTGATTAAAAAAGCAGCACGCATGGATGACAGTCCAGCCCGTTCCGCCTCTCTGCCCCACCTAACAGTCTCAATGTGCTTTCCTCTTTACTTCTCTAGTTGTAGGACTTCCATTCAGCCAGCTTTCAGGCAGTTCTGGATGATGGGTGTTCTGTATTTTAGTTGATGTGGTTTTGAAAGGTAGCGAGTTCAGGCATGTACCTATGCTGCCATCTTGGTTCTAGGCCTCAGTCATTTGTTTACTGATAGATGTTAAGGTTAACGAAGGTTTGGCCTACTAGAAATTATACTGCTATGATAATTTGTGTATAAGATTTCTTATGCCCTGGTTGATGTGGCTTAGTTGGTTGGGCATCATCCCCGAGCACTGAAGGATTGCTGGTTCAATTTCCAGTCTGGGCACATGCTTGGGTTGGGGCTCAATCCCTGGTAGGGGGCATGCTGCAGGCAACCAATGAATGCTTCTCTCGCTCTCCCTCTCCCTCTCCCCGTTCCTGTATCTCTAAAAATCAATTAAAAAAACCCAGTATTAAAAAAAAAGATTTCTTATAACATGTTTTCATTTCTCTTAAATAACTCCCTAAAATTGGGTTTGCTGGGTGGTATATAGTAAATCTATGTTTAATTATTTTGTTGCTGTTGTTAATCCTTATCTGAGGATATTTTCCCCATTGTTTTCCATAGAGAGTAGAAGGGAAGGGGTAGGGGGGAGAGAGAGAGAAAGAGAAACATCTATGTGAGAGACACACATCAACTGGTTGCCTCCTGCACAAGACCCAATCGGGGGAGGGGAGCGAACCCACAACCCAGGTACATACCCTTAACCGGGAATCAAACCCACGACCCTTCGGTGCATGGGCTGATGCTCTAACCACTGAGTACACCAGCCAGGGCTATGTTTAATTTTATAGGAGACTGCCAAACTACTTTCCAAAGTGGTTGTACCCTTTTAAAATTCTACCAGCAATCCTTGACAACACCTGTTATCGTAAGATTAATTTGAACTATTCTAGTGGATGCATGCTAACATCTTGTTGTTCTTTTATTTGACATTTCCCTGAGGCATCAGAAAGTGTAGAGTCATGTAGTTTATCAGAGTGAGGATGTCTCTTTCTTTTCCAAGTTTGTTGAGAGTTTTCATTATAAATAAGTATTTAATTTTATTCTATGTAAATTATGCCTTAATTATACTGATTTTTAAAAAACTCTATAGTTAACAGCAGACTTAAAGAAACTGAAGCCTCCCCAGTTTGGCTCAGTGGATAGAGCATTGGCCTGCGCACTAAAGGGTCCCTAGTTTGATTACAGTCATGGGCACATGCCTGGGTTGCAGGCTTGATCCCCAGTAGGGAGCATACAGGAGGCAGCCAATCAATGATTCTCTCTCATCATTAATGTTTCTATCTCTCTCTCTCCCTCTCCCTTCCTCTCTGAAATCAATAAAAATGTATATTAAAAAAATAAATAAAAAGAAACACTGAATAGTTTCCTCCTAAGACAGGGGAGAAGCTTAGATAGTCTTCTCCCATCACTTTTATTCATCATTGTCATGGTAGTCTTAGCCATGTAATAAGGAATGAAAAAATAATGAGAAATATATAGACTGCAAAGGAAAAAGTGAAACTATCCCTACTCTCATATAACAAAATTTACATTGATAATCCTAAGGAATCAGTAAAAGAAACACTAGAATAAGAGAATTTAGCAAAGTCTTAGGATATAAGATTAATATAGAATCTAATTTGTTTCCTGGATTTATTTCAGTAATACAAAGTTGATTGAAATTAAATAAATTTAATTTTCCTTAGTTTACATGATAATGTATGTAGAAAATCCTATGGAATTTACCAAAAAAATGACTAGCATTAAACTGTGAGTTTATGAAGGCTGCATAATACAAAATCAATATATAAAACAAATGATACGTATTTCTATATTCCAATAATACTATTTTTATGGTTCTTCTATCTAGTTGCCAAAGACAGAATCTGAGATATTAACATTGATTTTTCTTTTTCCCTCATGAACCTACTCTACCTTAATCAGATCCAACCAAGTTCTGTTGACTTTATCTCTTAAACATCTCCAGCACTTACTCACTTTCCTTCATCTTCATCCAATCATCATCTTTCAAGTGAAACCAGGCCCTAAAACTGAAACTAGGTCTTAATAGCCTATTTTTCTTCTTCTAGTCTTAAATATCAAATTCCTTCTGATCACTGCTGGTAATTTTATTGCATGGTTATCTCCTTTCCTCAATATGTTCATTTCTAAGACCTGTTACATCTACATCATCATTTCCTGGGAAGCAACATTTTGCACAAGGGTCCCTGGTTCGATTCTAGTACATACTTCAGTTGCAGGATCGATCCCCAGCCCTGGTCGGGTGAGGCACGTGAGAGAGGCAACCAATTGATGTGTCTCTCTCACATGGATGTTTCTCTCTCTCTGTCTGTCCCTCTCCCTTACACTCTCCCTAAAAAATCAATGGAAAAATATCCTCAGGTGAGGATTAACAAAAAAACAAACCAAAAGAATTTTAATGATACTTTCATACGATTACTGTGATAATTTGGTTTATTAACCAGTCCACAATAGTTATTTCATAAAAGTTAGTCTCTTACTCCTTTCTCTTTTTAAAAATGACTTCCAAAACTTTCCCTCAATCTATTATACATATTCAAAGTCTTGATAGATTTCATATTGACAACCAGAGATGAGACACAACATTTGTGCTCTAAAGGTTCTTCTTGGACACATTTTGGCATTTCACAGATTCTTCTGAATATTTAAATACTGAAATTGTAGTGCTGTGGAAAAACTTGCGTGGAAAGAAGGAGACCCAAGTCTAGTTTCATCAATGCCATCCAGTAGCTTGGACTTTAATCTCCTTGGATTGGGATAATTTCCCATGAAAAATAAGGGTGTTAGACAAGATAATCTCTCAGGGTTTGGGTCTTTAAATTCTATAATTTGGGGGAAATAATTAGTATCTTGGATCATTAGCAATTAGATCCTTGGACCTGGGAATATATCTTATTTGGGAAGGAATGCTCAAGATAGAAAAATATGACTGAGTAAGAAAAAGCAGGTGAGAGCAAAAGATCATCCAAGCTCAAAATACCTCTGCTTTCCCACACTCACCCTGCTGTAATTGTTTTAGAATAGAAATGTCTTCTTGTATACAAATTTCCACAGATACTAACAGGCCACTTGCTTTTGTTTTATCTATATCGTCCTCATAGCTTTCAATTAAAAAATCAGTAAATTATGCCAAAAATAAGTAATACTTAACATTTCATATTTACTTCCTACTAACCATTTATTCAGAGAGCTAAGATCCTGGCTATGAGGATGAGGGCAAGGGCAAGGGCAAGGCGAAGGCAAAGAAGTTATTTTATCTATAGCCATCCTTCAATATGGCCTTATAAAACTAATTTCTGAAGCAGTGATCCAGCTTCCCAGTTTTTTTAAACTATACAAAAGATGTCCTTCAAAATAGTCACTCTTTTGTACTAGTCAAAAGGATATCATATTCTTTTGTAAAAGACCTCACTGAATAACAAAATACATTTACAAAAAATTCATAATTTCTGTTATTCAACACGTGCTATTTTCTATTTCTTTGATGTGATCTTTCCAATACAAAGACTCATGATTGCAATTACTGAGGAATTAGTAACAATCTATTAAACAATACTGCCCAAGAACTATAGAGCTCTGACATTTAATCTCTACCTCATTTGTGAGGGCCTCCATTGAGTCTTCCTACTTAGAAAATTTACACAAACAGCTCACCACAAATGCCACAAAAAACTAATTTCATCTTAATGCAGGCTAATGATACATTAATATTTTAAAATATTTTACTTTAATATTTTAGTATTAAATTAATATTTTAATCTTTAGACCAATTTTCTCTCTTTAAGTCAAGAAGCATGAATTAGATTTACTTCTTAGTTGTCTGATACACATAAATAAAGAAACTGGCACTAGATATACAGACTGACTTGTAATTTGAAAAAACTTTACAGAAATAACTACAGACTAATTCATCAAGAAAATGAGGAACAAAGGCAAAGAATTACCTCTAATTATTCAAATTAATATTTTTTTGTCTTTCTTGCTTCTGAGTTAAAAAATTTTTATTAAATGTATTGGGCTGACATTGGTTAATAAAATTATACAGGTTTCAAGTGTACCATTCTGTAATACATCATCTGTATACTGCGTTCTGTTAACCAGCCAAAGTCAAGTCTCCTTCTATCACATCACCACAGTCAAACTAAATTTTTTAAAAACTCACTAAAACAGTGAAATTATAAACCAGAAAAAAACGTATTATGACAGAGAAAAATTAAAATCAGAATGAGAGAAAACAGCTTAAACTTACTGGGTTATCTGTGGAATCATCAGCCAACTGTAAACCAAAATAGTCACGCTCAGTCAAATCAAGATGTTTGAAGACTATATCCAACAGAACTTGTCCTTGATCATGTTTCTAGAAGAAAAATAAAAGGAAATCAATACCGATAGCCTATAAACACTTTCAGATTTTTAACCTGTTGGACTTTTCTCTTATTAAATTGGCAGCTGTTCCCATCCAATGACTATTGAGAATAGAGACTTCACAGGTTACAGAGTACTTAAAAAACTGTCTAACTTTAGGCAAACTAATTCAAAGACTATATAATAAATATGAAGATATAAGGAAAACCTTTCATTAAAAATGCGTCTGCTTTCAGGACAGTATGATATTTTTGTAATTTTATATTGCTGCCACATTAGTCAACTGCCTTATTGTTTTTTCTTACATTTAAGTTGACTGGAAAATAACATATTTGACTAAATACTATTTAAAATTTGTGTGACTAAAATAAATAATGCCAGTCTGGCCGGCATGGTTCATGGTTGAGTGCCGACCTACAAACCAGGAGTTCAAGGTTCGATTCCCAGTCAGGTATATGCTTGGGTTGCGGGCTCAATCCCCAGTGTGGGGTGTGCAGGTGGCAGTCGAGCAATGATTCTTTCTTATCACTGATGTTTCTATCTCCCTCTCCCTCTCTCTCTGAAATCAATAAAGACATATTTAAAAAATAAATAAGTAAATAAATAAATATTTAGTTTGTTGAATAAGTGGATGATAAAATGGCCTACAGAATAAATTTTAAAGTTTAGATGGTTTTTAATCTCTATGTAGGCTTTACTAGCCATATAGTTTTTTACTTCACAAGAAGACCAGTTAGGGAAGGAGTATCTAAAGCACAAGGGACAGTACATCTGCAAAGAAACTACCTTACTGCAAACAGTTTCTCTAAAGATAATGAGACTATCTCTAACAAAACGTATTTAGGCTTATCACTAGAACTTTAAGGAGTAACAACAGAAGGCAAAACTGAGATTCTTACTCTTGTTGGCAAGCCAAATACAAATAATATGAACAACACTATTCCAACAAACTAAACAACCTAGAGAAAATGGACATATTCCTAGAAAAATACGACCTTCCAAAACTCAATCAAGAATAAAAAAATCTCAACAGGCCTATAACTAAGGAGGAAATTGAAGCAGTTATCAAAAAACTCCCAGCAAACAAAAGCCCGGAGCCAGATGGCTTCACAGGGGAGTTTTACCAAACCAAAGAAGAACTAAAACTTATCCCTCTCAGACTAGTCCAAAAAATTCAAGAGGAAGGCACACTTCCAAGCTCTTTCTATGAAACCAGCATTACCCTAATCCCAAAATCAGATAAAGACACTACAAAGAAGGAGAACTACAGGTCAATATTTCTGATGAACATAGATGCTAAAATCCTCAACAAAATCCTAGCAAATCGGATCCAGCATTACATTAGAAAGATCACACACCATGACCAAGTGGGATTTATTCCAGGGATGCAAGGCTGATACAATATCCACAAATCAATAAACATGATACATCACATAAACAAATTGAGAGACAAAAATCACATAATCCTATCAATTGATGCAGAAGAGGCATTTGACAAAATCCAACACCCTTTCCTGATAAAAACTCTCAGCAAAGTAGGACTAGAGGGATCATACCTCAACATAATAAATGTCATATATGACAAACCTACAGCCAGCATCATACTCAATAGGCAAGAACTAAAACCATTTCCCCTAAGAACAGGAACAAGACAGGGATGCCCACTTTCACCACTTCTGTTTGACATAGTACTGGAAGTGCTAGCTATAGTGATCAGATAAGAAAAAGAAATAAAAGGCACCCAAATTGAAAAAGAAGAAGTAAAACTGTCATTATTTGCAGATGACATGATATTGTACATAGAAAACCCTAAAGACTCCATCAAAAAACTAGACTTAATAAATAAATTTGACAATGTAGCAGGATACAAAATTAACACCCAGAAATCTATGGCTTTTTTATACACCAATAATGAACTCACAGAAACAGAAACTAAAAAAAAAAATCCCATTTACCATTGCAACAGAAATATTAAGATACATAGGAATAAATTTAACCAAGGAGGTAAAGGACCTGTACTCAGAAAATTACAGGACGCTGAAAAAAGAGATAGAGGAAGACATAAACAAATGGAAGAATATACCGTGTTCATGGATTGGTAGAATCAACACCATTAAAATGTCCATACTACCTAAAGCAATCTATAGATTCAATGCAATCCCTATTAAAATACCAACAGCATACTTCAAAGACCTAGAACAAACTCTCCAAAAATTCATCTGGAATAATAAAAGACTCCGCATAGCTGCAGCAATCTTGAGAAAGAAGAACAAAGTTGGAGGGATCACAATAACAGATATCAAGCTATACTACAAAACCAGTGTTCTCAAAACTGCCTGGTACTGGCACAAGAACAGACATATAGATCAATGAATCAGAACAGACAACCCAGAAATCGACCCAAGCCATTAGGCACAATTAATATTTGACAAAGGAGGCAAGAACATACAATGGAGTCAAGACAGTCTCTTCAATAAATGGGGTTGGGAAAATTGGACAGATACATGCAAAAAAAATGAAACTAGAACACCAACTTACACCATACACAAAAATAAACTCAAAATGGATAAAGGACTTAAACGTAAGAAAGGAAACCATAAAAATATTAGAGGAATCCACAGGCAGCAAAATCTCAGACATATGCTGAAGCAATATCTTCACCGATACAGCTCCTAGGGCAATGGAAACTAAAGAGAAAATAAACAAATGGGACATCAATATAAAAAGCTTCTGCACAGCAAAAGAAACCATCCACAAAACAACAAGAAAGCCCACTGCACGGGAGAACATATTTGCCAATGTTATCTCTGATAAGGGTTTAATCTCCAAAATCTACAGGGAACTCATACAACTTAACAAAAAGAAGATAAACAATTCTGTTGTCAAACAAAGAATGGGCAAATGACCTAAATAGATAATTTTCAAAAGAGGACATATAGAAGGCTGAGAGACATATGAAAACATGCTCCAAGTAACTAATCATCCGAGAGATGCAAATCAAAACAACAATGAGGTACCACCTCACACCTGTCAGAATGACTATCATCAACAAATCAACAAATGACAAGTGCTACTCTACATTACACACACAATATCCATCACACACTGCTAAGTTAGTAGATATGTGAAATTGAAAAAGTGACTGAAATCAAGAGACAAAGCAGTCAAAAGAGTAATCTACATATTGGTTTTAGTATATAAGGACTTCAAAATAACTACGATTAAGATATTAAAGACAATAGAAGAATAGAGAAAATGGATTAATATATGGAATATTTCAAAGGAGTTAGAATCTATAAAAGTGATCATAAAGACATTTCTAGAACTAGAACAAAAATATAATATGGAATTGGTTTAACAGCAGAATAAGAAAAAAAACCAGAATTACCTCAAAGACAACATTAATAGCTGTTAAAAACAAAGAGAAATTAAAAACAAAAAATAGAATATACATTAGATATGATGAGGTGCAGTGAAACAGTCCAGCATATATTAAATTATAGTCCAGAAGTAGAGAAAATGGGTTAAAAGCAATATTTGAATCATTAAAGGATAATAAGCTTAAACATTTTATAAAATATTAACCAAGAGATTCAAGCTCAATGAATATGAAGCATGATGTACACACACGCGCACACACACACACACACACACACACACCACATTTTAAGTATATTACAGGCACGTGACTAAAAATCAAAGATAGCCCTAACCGGTTTGGCTCAGGATAGAGCAGTGATGGCGAACCTTTTGAGCTCGGCGTGTCAGCATTTTGAAAAACCCTAACTTAACTCTGGTGCCATGTCACATATAGAAATTTTTTGATATTTGCAACCTTAGTAAAACAAAGACTTACATTTTTGATATTTATTTTATATATTTAAATGCCATTTAACAAAGAAAAATCAACCAAAAAAATGAGTTCGCATGTCACCTCTGACACGCGTGTCACAGGTTTGCCATCACTGGGATAGAGCATCGGCCTGCTGACTGAATGGTCCCAGGTTCGATTCCGGTCAAGGGCATATACCTTGGTTGCGGGCACATACCCAATAGGGAGTGTGCAGGAGGCAGCGGATCGATGTTTCTCTCTCATCGATGTTTCTAACTCTCTATCCCTCTCCCTTTCTCTCTGTAAAAAATCAATAAAATATATTTTTTTAAAAATAAAAAATAAATAAAAATCAAAGAGAAAGAGAAAAATATTAAAAACAGACAAAGGAAGAAAGGACACATCTCTTGTCCTTCAGGAGAACAATAAGAATGAAAGATGACTTCTCAAGAGAAACTATGAAAGTCAATAAAATGGTACCGTTAAACTACTAAAGAAAAAAAATATCAACATAGATTCTATACTCAGCAAAAATACCCACCAAAACATGAAAAGTAATTAAAGACATTTTCAGACAAACAAAAAACTGAATCTGTTGTTAACAGATCTTACTTCAAAGAATAATAAAACAATTTCTTTAAAATGAAGGAAAATTATTCTAGATGAAAGCATGGGATGTAAGAAATGAATAGCTACAGAAAGTATATATATAAAGGTAAATATAATAGACTATTAACTGTCTGAAGCAATAATAATGTCTTGTAGGGTTTATAACATATGAGGGGTATGGCAAAAATACTTAAGAATAGCAAAAAAGTAGAAGGCAAGTAAATGGATTTAAACTGCTTTAAGGCTTTTGCAATTGGGGAGGAACGTGGTAGAAGTACTAAATAAAGGTAGACTTTTGTAAGTCAGGACACATTTTGTCATTTCTAAAGTAATCACTAAAAGTATAATACAGTATTCAGTTTCTTCAAAAAACTAAAAATAGAACTCCCATTTGACCCAGTGATGCCACTTCTAGGAATATATCCCAAGAAACTAGAAATACTAATCAGAAAGGATATATGCACCCTTATGTTCATAGCAACACAATTTACCATAGCTAAGATTTGGAAACAGCCTAAGTGCCCATTAGCAAATGAGTGGATTAAAAAACTGTGGTACATCTACACAATGGAATACTATGCTGCGGTAAAAAAAAAGGAGTTCTTACCATTTGCAACAGCATGGATGGAACTGGAGAGCATTATGCTAAGCGAAATAAGCCAGTCAGAGAAAGATAAATATCACATGATCTCACTCATTTGTGGAATATAATGAACAACATAAACTGATGAACAAAAACAGATCCAGAGACAGAGAAGCATCGATTAGAACATCAAACCTCAGAGGGAAGGTGGGGAAAGGTGAGGGTAAGGGGGTGAGATCAACCAAAGGACTTATATGCAAGTATATAGGCCTAACCAATGGACACAGACAACAGGGGGGTGAGGGCATGAGTAGGGGTGGAGGGGGCGGGAAATGGGAGGATAAGGACACATATGTAATACCTTAATCAATAAAGAAAAAAAAAGATTAACCAAGGGGGACTAATAAAGGAGAAAAAATGGAGGAAGAAACAGAGGAACATGAAGAAATATTCTTTGGTGAGTGAAGTATTCAATGCCTTAATATGGTGGTGGTTCCACAGATGTATACATGTATAAACATTCACTGAATTGCACACTGAAGATTTCTGCACTGCACCATTTAACATATATTGTATCTATAATAATAAAAGCATAACATGCTATTAGACCAGATGACCTTCCAGATGAAGCTGGCGCTGCGAGGAAACTCCAAGTCCGGGTCCTGGGTGCCAGAGGGAAGCCGGTGCCGGCAGCTGGGGAAAGGAAGGCCTACTCTTGCACAAATTTTGTGCATCAGGCCTCTAGTATATTATAATAAACAAACAAAAAAGTCTATATATACCTTCCAGAGTAGAGAGACTAAGCTACAGAATCTTTCTAAATAGAATCCAATATATTTCTCAAAAATGTAATGGCTTATAGCTATTTTCTGAAAAATTTTCCATAATGTATACTAGGCACTCAATACTTGTTATTAAATAAAGTATATGAATAACTATACTCTTATTTAATTTACTGTACTGGGTTTTAAAACAGTACATGAAAATATCATATATACATATAAAACAATTAACAGATTGCTATTTTGTAGAATTTTAGTAATATTCTTCTAAGAAAGTATTTCTGGACCTAGAGAATAGATCAATTGGATCACAAGCAATAGAAGAAAGAAGAATCAACTTTTCTGAATGCATATGAGTCAGATACAATAAATAGGCACTTCACAAATATTCTCATTTGATTCTAAGCATCCTATGCAAGGCCGGTATTATTCTCTCTTAACAAATGAAAAATCTGAAGCACAGAAAGGTACAGTAGCTTGATTAGAATCACAGAACTAGTAAGTCTTCAAAATAAAGACTTAGAAATTCATCATTGGATAATTGTTGAGGAAATTGTTCAAGAGAAGTAAATGTCATTATTAGTAACAGACTTATATATGACAAATATGATACAAACCTAACAGCTATACATGTCTATCATATACTACAATGTTTGAATTTTCACACACTATGAAAATTGGCAAATTATCATGTCTGTTTGCACTCAAGATGATTAGTTCCATTTTAACATCTGATTTTACTCAAAAAATCTTGGTAAAGATTAAATTCTCCTTCAGGTCAGACGCTGAAAATCAATCTAAGAGATATCAAAGCTAAATGAGGCAGGCTGGACAGAGATGTTTGCCTAAGACACACTAAAAAAACAGTAAAGGCAGTAATCAAAGCCAGTTTGTATAACAGCCCCTTCTGTGACCAAGAGATCCCCCCCTCTCACTTTCCTCTTCCTATTGCCAATCTCTGTAAGAACTAGAGATTTGCTCTCTGAAGTAAATGAGCCAGTAATATTCTAGATTCAGGGACATCAGGTACAGTTGATTACTTTTTACTGTACATGGAAAATCTACATAGTAAGCAAAAGCCTACATATGAAGAGTTGAGACCTCTTCAGCCCCTTTCTCTCATTCAGCTCTACAAACTACAGGCATATAACTGAAGGATTTCTCGCTAGGGGAAAAAGTATTGAACTAACAAAATATTACTATATAACTTCTTTGTTTATTGACAGGATGATAGGAAGTATGTAGGAAGAGAGGTATAAGAGATCTAAATTCTCATCCTCCAATGTCAATACATAATATGAACAACAACAAAAAGAATAACCAAAGCAGACAAAACCAGAAATAATATAAGCATGTTTCTTAGACTTACGGTAACAAATATTAGAGAAAAACTAAATGTGTTGAGTGTGGTTACTTCTAAGAAGTAACAGGGTAAGAGTCTGCTAGTTTTTGTTATAACACTCAACACAACTATTTGGTTTTTAAAATGGTATACATGAATAAACCAATAAATGTACAAACAAAAACTTCTGGGTGAATCGAGTGACATCCACAAATAATAGTATTTTAAAAGGAATTAACACACAAATTTAAGTAGGGCTAAAGTAATACTTAATAAATAATCCTTGATAAAACAGTAAAGTGTTGAAAATAAGAGGTCCTACCAGATCGTGCATATACAACACAAACGTACATGGTCCTGGCTCTGCCATTAACTTGGCAAGTAACCTAATGACTCTAAATCTATTTTCTCATATGTGAAATAAAGTCAATGGAACAATAACCAGGAAAAAAAAATCCCCCCAAATTCTATCTTCCTTTACAAATATGACTGTAGAATGAGTCCAAGTAAATTAACTTTCATTTAGCTAAATCCATCATCCTTATACTCCTTTGGCTTCCCATCTCAATATGCATCCACCAGGTAACCCCCCATTTATAATTCTATTTGTACTATTGATTTGGTTAACAAGTACTTCAACAAATGAAAAAAGGAGAAGATTCAACCTACTAAATATTCATCAACCCCAAGTTGTTTCACTGTTAATAACTGGAACAGGCTAGTTTCCCCCAATTCGTCCTTGTCACACAGGCTACTGCTATTATTTTCATAATGTTAAATTTTTGGGTGTGATAATGATACTGTGGTAATTTATGAGGCTCTTAGGATGCTGAAATACTTACAGGCAAAATGAACCACTTTTAGAAAATAAAGACAGAAAAAGAAAAGGAAAGGAAATGTACAACAAAATGTTAAGAACAGGTTAAAGGGTATATGGGTATTCATTATACTCTTTCATCTTTTCTTTTGGCTTGAAATTTTTTAAACAAAAAGCAGGAATGCACCCATATATATATCAAGACATACACAAGAATATTCACCAGCACATTACTGATAAGAGACCAAAGTGGAAACAATCCAAATAAACACCAACAGTAAATTTGACAAGTAAATGGTAATAAATCAATGGACAAGTAAATTACAGTATATTCATATTACAGCGAGTACTATAATACAACAATGAAAATGACCAAGTACTGTTAATACACCACATGGGTGAAACTCACAAATAATGTTGAGCAAATTAAGCTATACACAAATAAGATGAACAAATTATTTGTTGAATAAATATTCCAGACAAGACTCAGATAATATCAGGGCTATTATTTATCTCTGTTTAGCAAAGGTTTTATTCACACACAGTACAAGTAAGATTAAAATGAAAATGTATAAGTTATTTAGGAGAATAAATTCCTTTCAGGCACATTTATAAAAACTACCCACATACTATTGATCTGCTCCACTAATTAATCATAATGCACTGCTGATTTGTCAACTTTTTTAAAGACCTAGTTTGAATCAGAACTTGTACTTGATAGTTACAAACCTGCACTACAATGACTGTTCTTCATTGTATAAGAGTTTCAACCTTTACTATAATTAACCAATTTTAATTATAACCAGATATTATTTTTAAAAGAGAGCGATATAAAATACTTACACTAACTTTGAAAACTTGTACAGTGTTATCCAGAAGAAGAATGTTGCAATCCACCTCTGTATGCTGTCTGTCTCGGGCCAACTCTGATGCTCGTACATTGTAGGTTCTGCCAGCAGGCAAACGGAAACGTGAGGTCATTACTGTCCACACAAGGTCTAAGTTGGGGGGAAAAAAAAACAATCACTGAATAAAACAGTTCAAGATTCAGAGTAGTTTATTTAAAACACAAATTTACTATGTATTTTTCAATTACCACTTAGGTAAAAAGCAGTTATAAATTTTGAAGCAAGCAGATAAGAATTTATAAGTATAAAAGAAGATACCAGCCGAAACTGGTTTGGCTCAGTGGACAGAGCGTTGGCCTGCGGACTGAAAGGTCCCAGGTTCGATTCCGGTCAAGGGCATGTACCTGGGTTGCGGGCACATCCCCAGTAGATGTGCAGGAGGCAGCTGATCAATGTTTCTCTCTCATCGATGTTTCTAACTCTCTATCTCTCTCCCTTCCTCTCTGTAAAAAATCAATAAAATATATTTAAAAAAAAAAAAAGAAGATACCATACATATAGTTCATTATCTAAACTAAAATTACAACCTACCTAGAAAAAGGTTTATTTTTAACTGTTCCACTGAGAAAACAGAAATATTGTTCAGGGAATAATATTCCAATTCAAAACATATAAATTTAGTAGTCAGAAGAGGGAAGGAGAATTTGCTACTTCAGGAAGTTGAATAGTATTCATTGATGCAAGTATTAAAAACACTGCAAACTGGCAACAGGAGGGGAGATTATTTTTTTTAAATATATTTTTATTGATTTTTTACAGAGAGGAAGGGAGAAGGATAGAGAGTTAGAAACATCGACGAGTGAGAAACATAGATCAGCCGCCTCCTGCACGCCCCCCACTGTGGATGTGCCCGCAGCCAAGGTACATGCCCTTGA